GAAGGATGTGGTAACAAGTTATCTTCAAGAGGAAAATATGAAGCCGAGTTGTGCAGACAAATGACAAAGACCATCTCTGAGGTACACAATTTATTAGTAAAGCAAAGTTGGAAAGTATACCGGAGGTATATCCTATAGTAAGAATTCTCTGCAGTGCAGGGGGGGGGGAAACCCTCTGCTCAGAACAGCTTTTGGATACAAGAGTTCAACTTTATGATCTATGAAGGGATATATTAAGATGTTTGTGTAAGGAGATGATAATCTAGTTAACCTTGTAGGTCAGCTGCTTCTCAGATAGTTACCACGTTGCCCAGCTTATGATTTTGTATCATATAGTGGTGCAGCTAGTTTCCATGTGTGCTGATGCTAACTGATAGATCTGTTTCTGCATCTTGTGTCAGGAATATGAGTCTTCTCTGTACTGCATGACCTGCCATTGGTTCTCTCTCTCTCTTTCTCTCTCAAGTTTTCTGGGTCAAAGAGCGTATTTGAACAAATGCTGAGTGTCTCCCCTTTTCCTTTTTAATCACATCAGCTAGTCCACCTGTTTATGGATATCAACTGGCACTGGAGTCAGAAGTTGTGGTTCAAGACAGGCTTGAGCCACACCAGGGTCAACTATGAGACTGAGGGGCTGCTCCTCTGTCACTGGGCCCTGGTAGGCTTCTCCAGCTGGAGTAGTAGTGTTATAAGCATCACTAGGCAGCCATGTAGGGACGCGGGTGGCGCCTAGGGCTTGCCGATCGCATGGTCGGCGGTTCGAATCCCCGCGGCGGGGTGCGCTCCCGCTGCTCGGACCCAGCGCCTAGCAGTTCGAAAGCACCTCCGGGTGCAAGTAGATAAATAGGGACCGCTTACTGGCGGGAAGGTAAACGGCGTTTCCGTGTGCTGCGCTGGCTTGCCAGATGCGGCTTTGTCACGCTGGCCACGTGACCCGGAAGTGTCTCCGGACAGCGCTGGCCCCAGCCTCTTAAGTGAGATGGGCGCACAACCCCAGAGTCTGTCAAGACTGGGCCTGAAAATCTCTCAAAAAGCAAAATACCTGGGTATTTGGATCACCCCCAAGAATATAAACTTATTTCAGGATAATTATACCAAAACTTGGTTAGAGATTAGAAAAAACTTTGAAACCTGGAGTGAATTAAAATTAACATTTCTGGGTAGGATTTCCATCATAAAGATGAACGTGCTTCCAAAATTAATCTTTTTATTTCAAATGTTTCCAATACTGGGCGAAGCGGGTTGTCTCAAGATATGGCAAAGAGAAATTTCCAAATTCCTGTGGGAAGGGAAGAAACCCAGGATCAAACACCTGATCTTAATAGATATAAAAGAAAGAGGAGGCTTTTCTCTACCCGACCTAAAACTTTACTACGAGGCAGCCTGTTTCACCTGGCTTAAAGATTGGTGCACATTGCAGGATCCGGACCTCCTGGACTTGGAAGGTTTTGACAACCGTTTGGGATGGCACGCCTACCTGATATATGCAAAAGTGAAAATTCACAAAATTTTTACCAACCATATAATAAGAAAGTCACTCTTCGCTGTATGGGGAAAATATAAAGACTTGATGGAGCCTAAAGTCCCGTGGTGGACTTCTCCAATAGAAGCCATAGCGGTAAAACGGAAAAATACCCAGGAAAGCTGGCCAACATGCAAAACACTTCTAAAAGACGAAGATAACCAACAAAAATTAAAAAGCTTCGAGGAAATAAAAGAACACATCTCAGACTGCTTCCAATACCATTAGTTATTTTAAAAATTTAAATCTGACAAGCAAAAGGGGTTCTCAACAGAACAGCCTATATAGGGTGCAGAGAAGAAGAAGAAGTCCTGTTGCACAAACAGAACTCAAGATTTTGGTTATATCAATGAGACTGCCAGAAACTATTTTGTAGTAGTGTTCTGTAGTGGGGATGGAGGCTTAATAGATGGAAACAGGTCACCCACCAATCTGCCCCTGATGATAAGGAGAATCCCCATGCCCCCACTCACAGCTACCAGAAATGCTAGGGCTGCAATCGTATTTACACTTACTTGGGATTAAGTTCCATGTAGGACTTGCTTCTGGTAAAGCATCTACAGGAACAGGCTGTGCTGACTACCAGCTAATTTTACAGGACAAAATCTATCCAGTTTAAGTCCCATGCAGATGTGAAATTGTCTTAAGTTATTTGAAGTGCAATGCATCACTGGTGTATTTAGATTCTTGCCACTAGAGTAAATTAGTTAAACATTTGAAGGAGCTGTATTGTATCCTAGGTAGTTTATATTAGTTTGCTTATGAGACCATGAATTTAATTGCTCCCCCCCCCTCTCTTAGGTAATTAAGGCTCGAATAAAAGACCTGATGATACCAAGGTATAAAATTATTGTGATTATACATATTGGACAACTAGACAAGCAGAGCATGCAGATTGGAAGCAGGTGCCTCTGGGATACTACAAGTGATACTTTTTGCTCATACGCCTTCAAAAATAGATCTCTGTTTGCTCTCGCAAATGTCTTTGCAGTTTACTCTGAGTAGCAATTAAAAGTTCAATATGAAGTCTATGTGACCAAATAGACAAGATACTATTTTTAGGCTGCAATCCTATGTATGCTTACAGGGAACAAGCTCAATTGAATACAGTGGGTCATTGGTCTGGGTAACCCTGCATAAGATCGCTCTGCATATGTAGACTGGCTAAACCAGTAGATTAGTTCTTCTCTTGTGGGCATGAATACTCTGAAGATAACAGGTATTAATACCACTTGTGCAATTCTCATTTCTGGTGTGGAAGTGCAGTGTTTGATCATGTAAACATTCCCAGGGTTGGACTCTGTATCATATTAGTGATATCATAATGGGTGTGCATGAGGCCTAATTCATTGTGTTTATGTTCTTGAAAAAGTATCGAAATACAGAACCAGTTTACACTTGTCTGTTCTTATCAAGGTGATTTCCTCGAAGTGTGGCCCTTTTGCTTTACGTGTGAACTCTCATTTTTGCATTTGCAGGACGGTGTGTATTATGTCTCCGTTAAAAGGCAATTTTCAATCCCATCCTTAACCATACGCAATGGGTGATGGTGGTGGTAACTTTCTTAATGTTCCCTTTCAGCCTTTTTAAAAGGCTTGATATGGGCTCCACTGTGCAAAGGAGCACCCAGCTTCTTAAAAGTGAGCTTTGTCCAGTAGCTGAAACTGAATAGTCTGAAGGCAAAGTGTGGAGAATTTTTAAGCTAAAGTTTTAAGGAAGAGCCTGGAGAGTCAGTGCTTGGCTCCCCTCTGGTATTTGGGTTACAATATGACAGGGAGCTATGAGGACTGTGCTGTCTGGCTAGCATGATGTCACATATCTGTTTGTTGTCAGTAAAGCTGACTAGCACATTTACTTCAAATCACAGTGGGCCAATGGAGTCTGCCATCTTGTCTTCCGAACAACACATGTGGAATGAATGCTACATCATGACATGCTGTTATTTCAACTGTGGCATTGTGAGGGAACACGACAGCTCAGTTGACCACTGATTGCAGCTGTTGTACCGCTTGAAACAGCTCAAAAGTTTTGTTGAAGCAAAAAGTAGCTGATATATTATTTTTTAAGACACTTCTGTCCCTGCCTTTACTGGTAAGCCCTGCCTCCAAAAACTTCGCGCCCTTCTGCTCCCCACCCCATCCATTGGATTGCCGTATTTTTCGCCCCATAAGACACACTTTTCCCCTCATAAAATCTAAGGGGAAATGTCTGTGCGTCTTATGGAGCAAATGTGTGGTCCCTGGGGCTGGGGGGACGGGACCCGGGCTTCCCCCGCCAGCCCTGACAAGCTCTGGGAGCAGTGGGGAGGCTACGCACAGCCTTCCCGCTGCTCCCTGATCTGCTTTTTGGGGCTGTTTTTTGGGGCTGGGGGTGGGGAAAAGCTGGGCTTCCCCCACCGCCAGCCCCACAAGCTCCCCAACCTGCTTTTTGCTTTTTGGGGTTGGGGGGGAACCCGGGCTTCCCCCGCCAGCCCCGCCAAACTCCTGAGCAGCTCTGGGGTAGCCCGCGAAGCCTCCGCAGGGCAGCGGGGAGCCTTCATCCTGCTGCCCTGGGGAGGCTTTGCACGGCTATCCCTGACTTTTGCGGGAGGTGGGGGAAGGGACAGAGCGAGGCTCTCTCACTTCCCCCACCTCCCGCAAAAGCCCCCAAGAGACACGCTCCCTTTAAAGAGCTGCGCGGAGTGTGTGTGTGGCTCTTGGGGGCTTTTCCCCGAGGAAGGAGAAGGGCAGCCCGTAAGTGACGGGCTGCCCTTCTCCCTCCTCGGGGAAAAGCCTGCAAGCGCTGCACACACGCTCCACATGGCTCATGAAAGGGAGCGCTGAGCAGAGCCTGAGATACATTCAGGCTCTGCTCAGCGCTCCCTTTAAATAATATTTTTTTTCTTGAATTCCCCCCCCCCCAAAGGCCTTATGGTCAGGTGCGCCTTATGGAGCGAAAAATATGGTATCTCCTCCAGTGTTTTCCCTATCCCAATTTCCCACCCTCATTTTATTTAGCAAAATTTATATGGCGCTTATTTTTTTTATAAAACTTTGAAGCAGTTTACACAAAAGGTATAAAATATTCATCAAATATTTTGCAATGAAACTATAGCAATGAAAATAAGACTTTTAAAATGGTAGACATAATCCCAGGAAAAGCTTTTCTGCATTCATTCATCCTGAAGTTAATCTAGACAGGTTTGGTCAGAAGTAAGTTGCATGTTTCTAGGAACTGCACGTTCCTAGAATCTGTCTCATACATGGTTAGACCATTGGTTCATCAAGCTCCATTTTGTCTACTCTGATTGGCATCTGCCTTCCAGGATTTCAGGTAGGAGTATTTCTACCTGGAGATGGGATGAATTGAACCTGGGATGCTTTGCATGTGATCTGTCACTTAAGGTACAGGTCCCTTATCTAGAAACTGGTATTTGCTCTTAAGACTCCCTGAGTAAACAGAACTTATTCAGTGTCAAAGGGCTTTTGGTGTCTTTTAATTCCAAGCCTAGCACTGCACTGGCAAGAAGAAACAGCAGAAGCCATGTTGTGAACTGCAAATTTATTGTGAAAGCAGGAACTACAAAAAAGAGAGCTGTTTGAAATACAGATGTTAAAAGACCGTTTCTCAATTTGTACAGTATCCCAAATGGAATGGCACTTAGGAAGTACTTCAGAGCTCGGAACTACAAAGTCGGATATCAAAAATACCTATTTCTAGATGTTTCTGATGTATTGTTAGCTATGAAATAGCATACATGCCGCTGTCTGATACATTTTCAGCACAGTGAATATGCATATAAAGCGCTGACTGGACGGCAGAATTTATATGCATAGTAAACTTATAGTGCTGTCGCTGCAGCCGACCTGACAGCAAAGGTCTATGAGTCGCATAATATCTTCATTCCTTTTGTGTATAGACTTTTGTTCCGTGCCCCACAGATCTCCTTCAGCTTCAGAACTGGACTGGATGAATTCTTTGCTTAGGTATTCTGGCTTTTGGATCACCTTTTCATTGGCACCTGTTGAGTCATTAGTGTCAAGTGGTGAATGCAGGTGGCTTTCTTGACCTGTTGTGTGCAAATGATAAAAAATAAGAAATCTGGAGATAAACTGAAATAAACTTTGGATGTTGAACTTCAGGCAGTCCAATGATCAAGACAACTTTGATGTTGCCCAATCTATTTCTTTTAATTTGGGTCTGAAATATTTGCAGCCTACACTGGGAAATGCAATCCTAAGAAAACTTGACATACAGTTAAATTTCACAATTGATGCCTATCACTAGGATTGTCCTAGTTCTGTTGAAAAACAAGATATGTGAAGAAAGAGGAAGTGAGGGATCAGCTTCTCCTCAACTATATTTTCCTATATCCAGATAGGATTTTCATTTCCAAGGCCACAGATACAAAAACCAATCAGCTTGACTTCTGTAGGGTTTGACAGTTACCATCTCAGTACCAGGATATACTTGTTAAAAAACTGTTTAAAATTTTTTTGAACCTAAATAACAGCAAAGCTATTACTTCAGGTATATCTTAGGCACAGGAATAAACCTCAGTTTTCCAGAATTAAGAAATACTTGTGTACAAACCCCAAATGAGATTGCTTATTACTATATTATAAATATTTGTGCTGTTTCTAAGCACTATACAGGATCCTGTTGCTTATCTTTAAAGCTCTGCATGGCTTGGGACATGGGCACCTGTGGGGATTTTTGCCTCCACACACCCCTGCTTATTCACTAATATAATCTTCCAGGTGCCCCCCACCATCGGAAGTGGGGCACAGGCCTTCTCTCTGTTGTCACCAGTCACCACCTCATTTATGGAACTCTTACCCTACGAGGTTTGACTGACACCTTACTTTATATTTTCAGCACCAATGACTTTTAGCACCTAATTATTAAAGTGTAATTCTGTTCATGGCAGTTTTTATCTACTGTTGTAAACTTAATTGCTCTGTCATTATAGATCAGGGTTTTTGTTTTGTTTCTTAAATTATGTAAGCCACCCTAATATTTCTGTTGGAGTGCGGCATAGACCATTTTTAAAAATAAACAAAGAAAATCCACTAACCCTGGCTTTTGCATGCAAAAACATTCCGTGTTCATTTGGACCACATATAATCCAAATTGTTACCTGTGAGACTTTTTGGAAAGTGAGTCAGCTGCCTCCTCCAGCGAGACCCTCCGCAAGAAAAGATGACAGCTCTTACAAGGTCCCTCCCGCAGAGTTTTTTTTCAGCTGCTACTTCAGAAATGGCCATAAAGAGAGAGAGCAAAAGCATCCCTAGCACCGCAGCCTTCATCTTGTCGAAACGGTATCTGACTAATCAGAGCAGGGAAGAAAAGGATGGGACTTCTGAAGACAGGAGCCAAGACCACAGGCCAATTTATACAGCTTGCTCCTATTTTCTTGTTTGCCAAATGATGGGGTTGATGATGTTTACAGTGTTTGCCGAATATTTCTTGCAACAGTTTTAGGTGCTTTTAGGATTCACGCCTGGGTTGCTCTCAAATGGTGATTCAGGTCATAATATATTGCTATATTGTCTAAGAATAGCAACACACACAGCAGGGCGGCGTGTTTATGGAGGCCCCCGCACCTTAGATCAACATTGCAAACATGCACTTTCTAACAGTTTTATTGTACACTTCACTTATAATAAATGCCATTAGCTCACTATAACATTTTTAATAGTGGGTAAGCTTAGCCATTTGATATATTCTTTGCTGCTTTGCCATATTTTAATACGCTTTGAAGGAACTCCTGGCTTCATTTCCACCCCCACCCCGAATTTAGATCCAGAGTACAACTTGCTATGATCATATCTGTCTTTGTTCAGCTAAGACTATTTTTTATATATATTACAAGTGTACTTATTAACATTTGGGAAAGAATTTGAAAAGTGTCAATGATTAATTTTTGGAATACCTGATAACAGATTTCCACTTGCTTGCCTTTTCCATATGCTTGACTGTTGTGTGTTATACCACCTAATTTGAGATAACCATGTCAGTTTCTGAGACCACTGAATTTTTCATTATCATGGATAAAGTCACTGTTGCGGACAGTTCAAGGTGATGAAGCAGAGGTATCTTGCTACAGTCCTGTTTTACTTCTGGAAAATGTGTGTGGCTCTGAGAGTCTCTCCATTTGTAAGCAAGCCCAAAGTAAGTCTGATTTTATGTATCCACAATCTCTGGATCTGTTTTAAGTTATCTCTGACAATGAAAGCAAACCCTCAGGTCAGCACTTCTCCCTTCTTATATATATTGCTTTCACTGCTTATTATCACTAAAACAACACCTGATCCCTGCAAGCTGCAAAGATCTTGCTGACTTTTGTCTTTCCCAAGGATCCCATTCCTCTCGTCCCCACAACCAAGGGAGACTAGCACTGGGTTGCTCTTAATTTCCTTTGATTCTTCATCCTTTGGGGCACGTCCTGGGATGGCCATATGTGACCCACTTCCTATGTAACTGTGGTAGAGTGAACCCCTTACCTTTATCACCATGTTGAGTTGAGCATCATGGGACCATAGAGTCTGAGATGATACTGAGTCAAGTGGATGATTTCATTGAAGGGTTTTTGCTTTGTGTTTTTTAAATCCAAAGCAGATTGCAGGAAGTTGCCATCTGGGTCAGAATTTCAGAGATGGACAGGGGAGAGGTACTTATCTCTTTCCTTGTGGCCCATTTTTTTTCTTAGCAAAATCATCATGCTCCAAACTATTTTCAGTTTTACTCATTTTTAGACTTCGCTAAATGGTACTTTTTTTGTCTCCTGTGATGCTGGTATTGTAGGTTAGTCTGATACTTTTTGACCAAAATATAATCCTTGTACTAAACAGTAGAGATTAGAAGTTCACTGATTAACACCTTGCATATAGTAGATATATCACAATGACCCCTATTGACTCCTATTATCACCCATGTTCTCCAGCATTAAAAAACTAAATGTTTGTTCACTAATATTTACCTTGATGCTTACAAATGCATTGAAAAGATTGTTCTGTTCCTTAGTAGAACCAGTAAGTAAACAACTGTTTCCACTCAGTAAAAGAAAGGAACTAACATCTTATCACATTTTGGGATAATGATTAACACACTGTTAACACTAATAGATAGTATATTTAGAAACAGAGGAAATAGAGTCGTCACAGTCTCTTCATAAAAATGTGCAAAATGCACATGGAAATGGGTTATAATGTGCTTCTTAATTGTCTATATTTTTTATCTGTTTAAACATTCAGTGCTTTTTCCAAACGGTTGAATCCAGTTTAATGTTACTGTAGTTAAATATAATGCCCATGTGTGGCAGCTCTCCTGGACTGTATAGTGGAACCTCGGTTGTCGAACGTAATCCATTCCAGAAGACTGTTCAACTTCCAAAACGTTCGACAACTGAGGCACAATGGGCGGTGGACAATTTCAATGGAGAAAATTGAGAAACATGCCACGAAAGCTGTTTGACGTCTAAGGTGCATTAAAAAATGGAAGCAATTACTTCCGGGTTTTCAGTGTTCGAAAACCGATTCAGCTTCCAAAACCAAGGTTCCACTGTATCTGCAAAGGAAGCAAGAGTATTTAAATGCAAGACTTTTGAGTCAGGAAATGGGATTTGCAAAGTTTAGATGCTGGGACATAATCTGTAGGCCTTTTCTCCTGCCCAAATAATCCATTTTTTCCAATAACTTCTGAAATGCTATGGAGGTGTCTATAGTATTTACAGAAGCATTTTCTTGCCAGAGCATATAATGCAAGTTTAGCTTTTGCCTCCTGGAGAGTCTTCAGCACATTGTTTTACTATACTACATTGGTAGCAAGAATTGATTATCTCACTTTAGCAGTGTGTGTAAAGACTGGGACTTTCCAAGCAAACATCTGTGGCATTTCTAAATGATTCCCAACAAATTTATTCCCATATATAAACTCACACACACTTAATGGTTGGTTGTTGCATAATTGACTGCTAGGCATTAAATATCGCATCCTTTTTTCATGGAATATTGCTGTAAAGTATCTACACTGGACTGGTTAGAACAGAGCCAATCATATCATGCAAAGCATCCACCTGAAAAAGACAAAAAAGAGGTAGAGATATACGTTAACAAACCTGATAATTTGAAAGCAAAGTGGTAAAAAAGTAGGAAGAGTTTGCATTAGGTCTTTTCTGAGTGTAGTCAATCTAACGAGTTCTGGATGGAAAAAGCCTTATTATAACTAAAACTTTATATTATTAGAATTAGAATTTATATACTCCCTAAACCCGCGTGGTCTCCTAATTTGCAAACAATTTTCACCATTACCAAAGTTGCATCTACATCATAAAGCTGGGCTTGTGTGGTTTATAAAAATGTTACTGGTCCGCTGAGGAACAGGGACGCAGGTGGTGCTGTGGGTAAAACCTCAGCGCCTAGGACTTGCCGATCAAAAGGTCGGCGGTTCGAATCCCCGCGGCGGGGTGCGCTCCCGTCGTTCAGTTCCAGCGCCTGCCAACCTAGCAGTTCGAAAGCACCTTCGGGTGCAAGTAGATAAATAGGGACCGCTTACCAGCGGGAAGGTAAACGGCGTTCCGTGTGCGGCTCTGGTTCGCCAGATGCAGCTTTGTCACGCTGGCCACGTGACCCGGAAATGTCTGCGGACAGCGCTGGCTCCCGGCCTCTTGAGTGAGATGAGCGCACAACCCTAGAGTCTGGCAAGACTGGCCCGTACGGGCAGGGGTACCTTTACCTTTACCTTTTACCGCTGAGGAATAAAATAAGCCACTTACGCCGGCTTCTGCACATGAATGCCGCTGAACATAAGTTTAAGCAGCAGTGCCTTTCATGAATGGCTAGTCCTTCTGCAGGCTGCTTTGCTAGCGTGCCTTTGACTTATTAGGCAAAAACTCCGCCATTTGCCAAGCTATGTTCCGACCTCATTCGTGGATGGTCCCACCCTATTACCATACCATTCCCAGCGCTCATAACTTGAATATGTATAGTGAGGCATTTGTAGTAGAACGCTGTGGCATAGTCGCAGCACCTAAACTAGGGTCACTGTATTTCAAAAAGTAAAATTCCTGACACCCACAAGGTTGTTCCCACCAAAATTGGGAGTGACCTCGAATCCCCCCCCAAACTCCATTTTTACACCCAAAAACCAGGACATGTCAGGAATTTTCCTGACATATGGCAAGCCTACCTAAACAGAGCATAGTCCAACTGATTAACATAGGGACACTGATTAACGCACTACACACATGTGAATCAGCAGTAGGGCTCAGGTGTTAGAAGGGCCCCTGGTTGGCGTAGGCTACTTCAGCTTTTAATGCTGCAGAACGTACCTTCTTCCTGTCTGAAGGGATCATATTTCTTAGTGCGTACACGGTGACTGATCCTTCACTGTCACCAATTAGAAGGCAATCTGCGTTTTTGGCAAAAAGCACAGCCGTGAATTTCACAGTTCCAGTGGCAGGATGCACAATCAGGGGATCCAGGCTACATGCAAAACAATGGCATACAGTATAAAACTGATGGCTGCAGAGCTCTGTGGGACATCCCATTGTGAGATATGTTACTACCACAACTACTACTATTGTTTGCTGCTTGCTTGCTTGCTTGCCTGTTTGCCTCACAAGTTATTTTCCTCCACCACACTACCTTAATTATTCCTGCTAGTAATGCTGATGTATATAACACCATTACAGTTAGGAAGCTACATAATGTATAACCTTAGATTGCTGTTTGAACCTACAGCATTGGTTCTGCCCTGTACCATTGCTCCATTCCAGTTAGCTGTGGTCTCTGATTAGGCCCCTGGAAAGAAACGTTGAGCTCTGGGGGAAAATAATATCCATGGAGCTCCTTCCAGTTGGGTTTTAAGTAATCAGGTGCAAGTGTTTCTCCCAATGATACATAGCTGCTTAGCAAATAGGAAATATATACAATAGCAGAAGATCTCATATTTTGTAATGCATTCCATGTACTGTATGATACTCTGTGTTTACTTTGTTCAAGAGTAACTGGATACAGTACCTCTTTAGATAGATGTATAAATTGCTTTTAAGAAAATGGCTGATTCTTACGTGCTGACGCTAAGATCCCAGATTTCCACCCTGGTTTCGTTCGCTGCTGCAAACACATATGCTGAATTGGGAGACCACACTATGTCATAAATGACATTGGCAGTGGAACTGAAAGTCAAAACAGGACGGACTGAATCCTCGCGCCACAATATAATACTCCAATCCGCAGAACAACTTAGAAACACTTCTGTACTGAATGGATTCCATGCTATCTTGTACACCGGGCCCTTGAAATAGAGAGAGAAAGAGTAATTGCTTCATTTTACACACACATACACACATGCAAAGATTAGCGCAGAAGCATGCTGCACCACAGCACTGAAGCCCAACAAGATTTTGGGAGACACTGAACTTCTCTAAGCAGTATGTGATGGATGGCACAGCTTTAGCTAGGTTAAGCAGATTGGCCTGAATCCAAAGGAGATGCTGAATTCATACACTCAGGGGAGACCCATGCATAGCTGAAGCCTCTTTTACAGCCTGTACCACAGTAGCTGTGCCAGCTGAAAAAGACAAGCAGAATGGCAGTTAGGCCCTGCTAGAGGGTTCTTGAAAACTGAAGGGAGCCCTGGCTCTGCTTGGTGCCTCACGTGTATGTAAGCTTCCTCCTTTGGTTTCTCTGCATGTTTAAATTTATACGATAGCATTTTGAGTTCATATCTGTCAAGGAAGTTCTCAGAGGTGTTCCGAGACACACTAGTTCAAAGGGCAACCCATCCTGCTATTAATGAGGGACACAATGCCATCGGATTGCCGTCCTAACAATGGGAGCTGTATTACTGTTCTCTTCCTCTTGTCTTTAGGAAGACAGAACCCAAATATGGTCAGGAATGCAACAGACTGGGCTGCTTGAGAGAAAAAATGGTTTCAGGGGAGACAATGTGGTATGGTGGTCAGAATCCTAGAAATCTAGGGCACCTGTCAACTTCACCTACACAGAGTGTGAGGCAGGATGTGTGGAAGCAGGTCTGGGAGAGGATAAGGAGGGTCAGATATAGCAGGCTTGCAGCACCTTGGACAGATCACTTGAATAGCAGCTTTCTCCAAGGGACTTTCAGTTCCATCCAAGGCCCTTTATCTCCTTTTCAGCCCTGACCTCCTCCCAGATTCCAACTCTTTCTTGAGAGGAGAAAAGCCTTAAAGGCCTATAAGCCTGGAGCCAAGCAGTTGCCTCTGTTTGACTTCCTGACCACTGATGGCAATAAGGGGCATCTCGTATTGTGGGGCTCAATATTTCAGAGGCACTAGGCTCAGGAGGTGCTGCCTTTGGGGCACTTATGGTTCCAGGCTACCAATGTTGGATGTGATATTAGGGACCAGGCCTCAGTCCCCTGCCAGGGTATGGGTAGCATGGCTTTGAAAGACACCTCTGTCTCTGTGAGTCTTGGCTGCCACTTGAACCAAAGTTCCTCCTGTTCATTTCAGTGGGGCAGAGAACTTCTACGTGCGTTATCACTTGTCACCCACAACCAGCTCCTTGAGGTGGCTGCCTTATCTTGCATCAGGGCAGGAACTGCTCAGTTTATAGTCAACAACCTGGCATTCCAGTTTGTATAATGACCTAGAAGATAACTGATTTTAAATGGTTGGTCCAGAGTCATCTGGCCTAGTCTGGTTGAGAAACCTTGATTTCTAAACTATGCAGTATTCAAGAAAGTATTGTTAAAGTATGTGGTTCATTAGTCATTGATTTCCCCAACACAGAAATTTGATTGGTACCTGAAGAATCCTGTCAGAATATGTGAAGTAGGGCTAGGAGCCTGTGTGGCCCTCCAGGTATGTATAGATGGAGTACAACTCCCATCAGCCCCAGCCAGTATGGTCATTGGTCAGGAATTATGGGGGTTGTAGTCCAGCCACATGTGGAGGGCCACAGATTCCCCATCACTGGTGTAAAGCGTACTAAAGACAGTGTGTGAGTATCTGTGCATCTACTTATTCAACCCAATTTTATTTATGTTTACTCACTTTGTGTCCCCTGTAGGTCTCCAAGTACTGCTCATTGTAAGAACAAGAGCATTTGTGAATAAAACCTTCCTCAGTTCCAACCAAGTATATATTAGTGTCCTGAAATAAAACCAAATTACTGTAAATGGCTTTGACTTTGTCCAGATTGGGCATATTCTTTAGAATCTTCACTGCAGCAAATTGTCAGGCTTGCTTCTCTTCTTTCCTGGTAAAGTAGAGTCCAATGTAATGGAATTCTCAAAGGCTTGAGCCAGAAGTCCCAACTAACCACGTGTCCAGGAATAGAGCAGACATCCAACAAACAATATCCAACAAAACATACTAATGCATGAAAGAGTTGCATGTGTCACATGTTCGGAAGACAGTGCATGCAGAGGGGAAATATGACATTGTGATGCCACCTCCAGTTTAGCCATTTCTTGACCATGTTAACACTCCCTGCCCCTGGAGTATGCTTGTATCTCCGCTCCTTTTCCTTTGAAGGTAGATTAAGCAGAATTGGGTTTTGATAGAGAGTGGCGCTGCACCCAGCCTTGCCAAAAGTGTGGCTGATTCTGCCAGCTCAGAGCTACAACCCTCATTTAGTTTGATGGGAGCCCTCCATCTAGTTCCCTGGAAATACTAGGAGAGGCTACTACTACATTTTTTAGCGTTGGATGGGTTATAAAATCTCTGCAGTCTTTGGAAAGATGTGTAAAATAGTGATTCTCTGCTCTTTATGTCAATCTAACATGCTAAACTATAAAACTTGTTAAGAAACAACCAATGAGTAGGAGGAACAAGCGGACCTCCATTCCTTGCTATCCATTGTCTTCAGCTAAATTATCACTTTGACCTCTGTGGACAAAACATTCAGAAAACATCATAAAAGATTAGGATACCTTTGGATGGAAATCAAAGGATAATCCTGGAGCTTGTCGAGATATCAGTGCTTCACTTTTCTTTTCTGCCCCTCCCTTTTTCTTGTCACTTGCTGTTCGCTTGAGTTTCATCAGATCTGAGTTGAGAAACAAATGCATATATAAATGGTGAGACCTCCTGTTTCACTATGAGGGCTGTAGGGACTGTTTCTCTTCTACACAACACATGGTCATTACAAACTCTCCTTGTCCACTATTGGAGTTAGTATAAGAAATGGCTTTATTTATTTCATCTCTGATGACCTATAGTAAACCCCTATAGTATACCAGTGAACCCCTCGCATCCACAGCACGGCCTGTGTGAACATGGAAACAGATTTCTGTACATGTATCACTAATCAGAAGGTGAATCCGCAAACAGATGCTTCCTGCTTACCTTTCCAAATCCAGCAACTGGAACTGTACATATAGGCCTTTTTAAAAGCGGCCCAGATCTTGCCAATCAGTTGTTTGGAAGAGGAGGCAGTAAACTGGAATTATTCACCTCTTTCCCCACCAAGCAGCTGGCCAATGGGATTTCAACTTTTTTTAAAGGGCTGTGTGCAAATAGCCCTAGTTCTTTGTGCACTCAATGGGATCACAGCCCTTATGTGTAGTTCCCTGTGCTGCATAACCTAGGTCCTAGAGTGTCTTTATTATTCCCTAACTTAATTACTTACTGAATTGTTATTATTTTATCCCACCTTTCAACATGTAGCAGCCAAAGTATCTGGCAATAATATTAAAAAGACAAGAAGATAAGAAAGATTAGGCACACGCACACACACACCCATTTAAGTAATTCCAGAATGTTTGGAGTAAGGTGACAACGCTTACCATTGCAGCTTAATCCTTTCCGAACAAACCACTTAGTCACTCTGCCGTCTGCTGATATGGAGACTAGTATCTCCCCTTTGTCTTCTCCTGTTATTCCCCTGTCCTGCTCAACCCACCTCAGCTGCCACACAGGGCCCAAGTGTTTATCGTAAGATTCGCTGAAACAAGAGATTGATACCAAACTCAGCTTTGGGATGCATACAATTAAACTCAACACAGTAATAAAAGGGAAAGTGGTGTTGCAGGCAGGGTCAATCAGAGGGGTGGGACAAGGGTGTCACTCTTATTTGTGTGCCTTATTATGTTTGTTTTATTTGTGCGCCTTTTAATATTCTGCCTAGGCGCCTCAAAAGTTGGAAGTGAACTGGGCCTCTCCGGACTTCCAAGTATGTCTGATTGCAGGAATTGGAGGTGGGAATGCAAGTACACGAGAGCCAGTGTGGTGTAGTGGTTAAGAGTGGTAGTCTCGTAATCTGGGGAACCGGGTTCGCGTCTCCGCTCCTCCACATGCAGCTGCTGGGTGACCTTGGGCCAGTCACACTTCTCTGAAGTCTCTCAGCCCCACTCACCTCACAGAGTGTTTGTTGTGGGGGAGGAAGGGAAAGGAGAATGTTAGCCGCTTTGAGACTCCTGAAGGGGAGTGAAAGGCGGGATATCAAATCCAAACTCTTCTTCTTCTTCTTCTACATATAGGAAGCAACACATGCAGGTAATGAAAATAAGCCTGAAACTCGTCATAGAGATGGGGAGAGTGTAATACAGTACAACCAATTAATCCTCCAGTTTTTCAGAATAGCCAAAGCCAGACAGAGGTGGGATTTGGAGATGTGTGTGTGTGTTTAGATCCAGACAAACGATATATTTTGTAATGTAATGAACAATGTGTGGAGGTGCCTCAACAAGACTTACCTGGTATCTAAAACTGAAGTTGTATGATGGGTCTGGACATTGTAGACTGCAATTGTCCCATTGTACAATCCAACTGCTAAGAGGTTTGGATTGGCTAGAGAGAAATCCAATGCAGTTACTCCATGAGGAGATTGATAGACACGCTCTGGCCACTGGAAAATCAAATCTGTATTAACTAAGAGAGCATTCACACGTTATAAACAATCAGGGACCCCAGAAATTATTTAAAATTCAGGAGGGAGGGTCTGATTGGCTGTGATTAAGTTTTGCTTCCTTTTAAGGTGCATTTCTGAAACACCTTCAATGTTGCTGAGTGCATCTTCTTCGCATGTAGATTAGAATTTTATTTAAAAAAGAAAAAATATTGGACTGGATTCAACTAGCCCAGTGCACTAGCAGAAGCCAGCACAATGGGGCTTTCTGCCCTCTCCTGACCCCATGAGCCCCGCTGTCTCCCCCTAATCCACTCTGGAGAGTTGGGAGTACCCTCAGAACAGTTTGCAGAGGAAGGTTGTCAGTCCATCTGGCAAGTGGAAATGCTTCTGCTGACAGAACAATAAGAAGAGTGGGACACTGAATTCATCCCATAATTGCTAGCAACTGATAAAAAATAAGGTAGTTTAAAATTCTGAAATCCAGTTATTGAACACTAAAGCTACCTTACATTATTATTACAGAAAAGGAAGGGAAGAATGCCACAAAAATGCATTTTAAGTAAACTGCTTATAGGTTTTGATGATTATATATATATATATATATATCCTGTTAAATAACATAAATTAAAATAAAACAAAATGGAACTTTATCCATCTTTTGTAATCAGCAGGTATAAATGGAGATTTTACATTTCTGGTTACTTTTTTGTAATATATGGTTCAAGGTTGGCATGTTTTCTTTACCATAGCATTTATAATATGGCTTAGTGATGCTTATGCATACTGTATGTGGGAGGAAGTCAACTCAGGGGATCTTACATATGAGTAAGCTTAGGACTGGGTGGTTAGATTATAAGATTGCTCTATATCATAAGATAAGGATAGGATATAAATGAGCTATTTGTGGTCTTAACGGGAAAGCAAATCTGAAGGCCTCATGGGCCTAAGGAAGGGTAAAAAAGAACTCTGCTGCTACATCGCCGTTGTATCTTATCAGTGGATAATATCAAATTGATCAAAATCAAGAGGAACAGCCCAAGTATTGTGTTACCGTTGGGTTCTTCAGTGACCAGCAGCAAGCCAAGCCTTTCTTCTGTTCTTTAAAACGAAACTTTCCATAACCAACAGCCAGTAGATCCTAAAAACCAACAACACATGATATTGCACACACACTACCAAGCCACAGCAACCATTGAGATGGCTATGTGTATGGCCTTTGAGGTTCTATTTAATTTGGAGTGAAAAGCTGTTCATTATGGATCCAGAGCAGCATCAGTAGCAAGACTGTTCACTGCTCATAGGACCCGGTCAGTGTTTCTGCCCCCTGCTGCGACCTTTAACATCTGGCTCCTTCCATTCACCTATCTATTGCCGCTATCATTACTATTGCTGTCCAAGTGTACGTATATTATTAAGTGTTAAAGAGATTTGATGTTGCTGAAAACTGGCAGTGATTACAGTATTTTTTGCTCTATAAGACGCACTTTTCCCCTCCTAAAACGTAAGGGGAAATGTGTGTGCGTCTTATGGAGTGAATGCAGGCTGTGCAGCTATCCCAGAAGCCAGAAGAGCAAGAGAGATTGCTGCTTTCACTGTGCAGCGATCCCTCTTGCTGTTCTGGCTTCTGGGATTCAGAATATTTTTTTCTTGTTTTCCTCCTCCAAAAACTAGGTGCGTCTTATGGTCTGGTGCGTCTTATAGGGTGAAAAATAGGGTTAAGCTACTGTGATCGTCATGAAGCTATCACAGAATAGTTTTAACTCCTGTGATCAGGAAGGTCTGGCCAACAGAATGCTTGCAAGGAGGCTACCTTTAGTGAGAAAAGTGAAAAGCCCATCTTTCAAACAAACAAAAGACTGGTCACTTGCCAAATGTGACAGGCCAAACACAAGCCAGCCATTTCTTCTATGGTGAATTATTTTCAATAATAATAATAATAATAATAAATGGGTCTCTTTGCAAATGCAGCTTTGACAAGCTTAGCAATTCTACTCCTAAAGTGATACTTAATTTTGACAGTGCAAAGAACAATTTTTTCGGGTTTTTCCCAAGTGTTTAGAGGTCACTTACAGGATTCACTTTGTTCCAAGCTAGGCAGCTCACATTGTTTCCTCTCATCAAATCACATGCATAGGTCCACAAGCATTCTATATAAGGTGGTAGGATTTCCTCTCGTCCTGAACTAAAGTCTAACAGAAGTGATGACCTAACTGAGAGCGCATCCTCCTCTTCCTCCTCTTCCTCCTTTATGGATTCCTCTTCAAATATAGAAAGGCTATGTTCAGATTTGACGGTCGGCTCTAGGAACACATTTAAACACAGAAAACGTTGTTCTCCTTCCATCCCCAAATAGAAATAGCTATACTAGAACAGGCCAATAATCAGGTTAAACCAGCATCTCTGTATCTGCCACAATGCCTGCTCCACATATGGGACGTTCTCTGTTCCTCCTGATATGAACGCCACTACCTGTTTTGTTGTCCTCCATGTTTGCTAAGTAATGTAGGTAGGAGGAAGAGTTTTGTCTGTGCCAGCAGGGATGTATGAAAATCCTGGTGCCCCTCTGATGATTTCACTGGTGAGGAGCCCACAGGTGTGTGGGAGGAGCAAAAGCCTCCAAGCTTGCCCCCACCAGTGGTGTGGAGGGAATGAAGGCTTATCTCTTTCCTCCCTTAGCATGATCAAAGCCAAATTTGCCTCCCCTCATAAAGCTAAAATGCTTAGGACAGAACTTAGTATGCTGGTAATGATGGGGGGGAAAGCTTGCTGGCTCTTTGAGTGCCGTTTAGCACCACACTCTGACTGACTGATCTGTGACTGTAACCAGAGGAGACTGAATTTCCACAAGACATGGTTGTGATCAGATGGTAGGTGCTTCTGCGTAATTTCCTGCACCCTATAGACTGCCAGATTACCATTTTGTTGCTACTTAATACGTGTGGTCCAAAATTTTGCCCCAATGGAATTTAGCACTTTGTGATTGGTTTTAGGATTCCAGCCCAAAATGATCCATGACTATTGGATTTTAAAAATAAATTAAAAAATAGTGTAGTTGAAATGTATGTGCTTTGGCTAGAATCGACAAATATATGTGTAAATCGATATGCAAATTTCTGTTCTTTGAACAGGGTTGACTTTCAGAACCGCACAATTAAGGTTCTCACCGGCTGTCTTTAAGGACAAAGGAAGCGGGTGGCGCTGTGGTCTAAACCACAGAGCCTAGGGCTTGCCGATCAGAAGGTCGGTGGTTCAAATCCCCGCAATGGGGTAAGCTCCCGTGGCTCGGTCCCAGCTCCTGCCCACCTAGCAGTTCGAAAGCACGTCAAAGTGCAAGTAGACAAATAAGTACTGCTCCAGCAGGAAGGTAAACAGTGTTTCCATGCGCTGCTCTGGTTCGCCACAAATGGCTTAGTTATGCTGGCCACATGGCCCGGAAGCTGTCTGCGGACAAACGCAGGCTCCCTCGGCCTATAGAGCAAGATGAGCGCCGCAACGCCAGAGTCGTCTACGACTGGACCTAACGGTTAGGGGTCCCTTTACCTTTACCTATCTTTAAGGACAAACACAGAATTGGAATCAAAGATTTTGAGTATTGCTGTGACTGTCCTGATCTTCTGGTTTCCCACCCCAACAAACGATGGAGCGTGTCCATGGGACATAACTGCATAACTGCAGTAGCCTGGTTGCTAAGGGATACTGTGTAATTCGGCCTGGTGCCTGGAATGGAGGAAATAACACTGGCTTGGATCACCATGGTTGGTAAACTTGAGGAAATAAAGTTTCTCATCCCCACCTACATTTCGCTAGAGGGCCTGGGGCCACATTGTTCAGAAGGGTCCCCTGATTCTCTATAGAGGGTCTTTTGGGGAAGCGAGGTGGCTTCCAGGAGGCTTCACTTGTGCTCACTTGTTTTAAGATCCAGGTCAGTGCTGTTTCCCTCCCTCACTGCAGAGTCAAGGAAGGAAGAATGTTAAAGGACTAAGTGGCAGGGTTCAGTTGTGCCCGGAGGGGGCACTGTGTGCCTTCCAAGCTCCTCCAAGTCACCACCTCCTGTGGTTTCAAAGAAAGGAGAAGCAAGTCTTGCTAAACCAGATAAGCTCAGGTTTCCCAGCTGCAGTCTCAGGCGGAGAAGGGACAACCTGATAGAATGGTAGCTCCTTAGAAAGAAAATTATGAGGAGGAAGCACAGAGGCCAGCAAGATTTCTTTGTCCCTGCTCACCGCTTGTGGATTGGGGGCGCTGCATTTCCCCCCAACCCCTGCCACCACAATCTGTTGGAAAGAACTATATTAACTTAGCCTAGCCTACCTCAAAGGGCTGTTGCAAAGATTAAAGCAGGGAGGGGAGAATGAGGTGCACAACTTTGAGCTCCTGGGGCAGAAAAGCAAGATACAAATGTATAATGTCATTCACAGAACCTGTAAAGGAACATAAACATGCCAAAATCCAGAAAAGCAGCCTCCCCCTCGCTTTAACTGCAACATTTCAGTTCTGAATTTTGCAGCTAAATACTAGCCCCCCCCCAAAAAAAGCTGCCAGCCCTGATAAAAAACAAGCAAAATAATAATAATACTCTAAATATGGGCAGTTTCACAACTTTGGTGTCTGAACTACCTGCCTAGCATAGCCTCCCTCACAGGGCAGCAATGATGCAGAGTGAGTGGGGCATGTGGGATGCCCACAGGGACGCTGCCTCAGGCGTTTCTGCTGCCCAAGGCAGCTGCTTCACCTCGCCTCATGGGTGGGCCGGGCCTGCTAAATAGTGTTTTAAAAGCTTGTTTTTATACAAATCACACAATTTGTTTCCAGAAGCAATGGAAAATCCATTTCCATTTCAATAAAGTCTGTTGGTAATAAGGGTGGTTCCAAGATAAAAGCCATTCATTAGCTGAGTTAGAGAAAGTCACAACAGTCTCATTTAAACTAAAAAATACTTGCAGTTACTTTTGCAAGGAAGTTTCTCAGGCCAAGATTAAAATGTCTGAAGAAAAATATACCTAGGAGGACAGGAAGCTGCCGATAAGCTGCAAGTTTGGGCTGGAAAATATTCTCCATTAGGACCCTCTCCATATAAAACAAATCTTGATTAAATTTTTCAGATTTCAGTATAGCTTCTGAGTGGTCTTCTATCTCTTCGTGAATCCGGGAGAGAATTACACTTTCCAAGTCAATGATGGAACTTGTAGTGCTTTCTGAGGAAAGAAAGAGACAGGTGTCATTTAATAGCATAATCTAATTTCCCCCCAGAAGGAATTATGGGAAAAGAAACTTCATAATTTGCTTTCAGTATTACCCAGACTGCTTTTAGGTCTCCTGTTATCTAGAGTTAAAAACGGACAGCAAACATGTATTAAAAGCGGTATTCAGCTGCTTTTTTACTACTGTTTTATATTGACTACTATGCGATTGTATTTTGCTTTGAATTTTGTGAACTAATCTGGAATATTTGATGAAGGGTGGTATGCTCAACCCCAATCCGTGTGTGTGTGTGTGTGTGTGTGTGTTCCACCAAAAGGTCATTGGGGTTACTTAGATTCAAATTAGAGTTAACAGGAAATGGGATACTGTACATTCAAGATTTTGGGGATATAAATGATCTCACAATGTTAAACTTAAAAATACTTTCCCCATAATGTCATTACTGAAGAATATTTAACAAATCATGATTGCCTATGGAATCCCACCCACATCTACTCAAGAGATAGATTGCAGCCTAAATTGTCCTAGTTCTTCCAACTGAGAAGTACTCCAAATATATGGATCTCTTATAGGTATTTCTCTCAATAGAATTCACCCAGCTTGTTTATGCTATCTTGTTTTAATTTCCTTTTCCATATTACATTACATCCATTCCCATTTGACTAGGTTTACTTTATGGTCTGATAAATGACCAAATATTAAAGCAATTCAATTAGACTCATAAAAGATCTCATTTATAAATAGAACTTTATTTTAAGTAGAAGTCATCATCTGCATATAAATTAAACTTAAACATTACTTATCCTACTTTAACTCAATTTGTATTTTCAACAGCTCTTGTTGCACTTTGCCAAGAGTTTAATCAGCATAACAAACAGCAACAGCGCTAACAGACCTATTTGTTGTATGCCCCCAAATAAATCAGATTTTGTGAGATTCACTTTAAACAGCAGGAATTTTATCCAGTTCATAAACCAATTACAAACACCGAACTCCTCTAAAAGTTGATACAGATAATTGCATTCCCAAATGTCAAATGCTTTTCCTGGGTCTAAAAATGCCATTCCTATTTCCTTTTTTGTTTCAGGTACAATTTGTTTTGTTTCTCAGTAAACACTCAAAAGGGACGCAGGTGGCGCTGTGGGTAAAAGCCTCAGCGCCTAGGGCTTGCCGATCGAAAGGTCAGCGGTTCGAATCCCCGCAGCGGGGTGCGCTCCCGTTGTTCGGTCCCAGCGCCTGCCAACCTAGCAGTTCGAAAGCACCCCCAGGTGCAAGTAGATAAATAGGGACCGCTTACTAGCGGGAAGGTAAACAGCGTTTCCGTGTGCGGCTCTGGCTCGCCAGAGCAGCGATGTCACGCTGACCACGTGACCCGGAAGTGTCTCCGGACAGCGCTGGCCCTCGGCCTCTTGAGTGAGATGGGCGCACAACCCTAGAGTCTGGCAAGACTGGCCCGTACGGGCAGGGGTACCTTTACCTTTACCTTTAAACACTCAAAAAGGCTGAAATATTAACTGCAAGTTACTTGATTCCATATCAAGTTACTGAGGTTAAAAGCAAAATTGTCCTCTTCCTGCTATACTTTGCCATCCCCAAATCAGCATCAATAATCTCTAGGGTCCTAACCTAGCTGCAAGGGAGAAAGGCATCCTCCTGTGTAATTGCATGTATACGATCATTTGTTTCTTTTTTTTATTATTATCATGGCACATACGTAATACAGTATTTGAAACCTTTCATGGCTAGCAAAGATGCAGAAATAATGAATTTACCTCTCCCTACAGAAGCTACGGACATGGCTCTGTCGCGTTCCCTGTATAGAGTTGACTTACTGCTGGTCACACTTACTGGTCTGATACTTTTTTCTGCGATAGCTGCTTCCAATGCATTAAAGGAATCATACAAATCCCAGGTAGTGGCCATTATCTCTAAAGACAAAGGACATTGTTAGATAGCTCCTTGTTCTGCATGTGCATGGCTTTATGTTACAAACGACTGCAACTAAATGGGTAGTTATACTTTGGAGTAGCAAATGGCAAGATTAATTGAATGAGCTCGTTGTAATCAGCTGGGGTGAGTGTCGTTGGAAGGTGCACAATCCTTTCTGGGTGTGCATAATGTCTCACATTTGCAGCTGCATATTTTTCTGGGAGATTTGAAACAACGGGACCAGAGGCGTTTGCCAACTTTCTAAAGGGTCTTCTCAAATTTTAACACAATATAGTCCCCTAGAGGGATCTACACCTGCATATACCCTACCACACTTAAAGTGCTTCTAGAGTATGAGTTACTAATGCTGCCAGATCATCATTCTCCCAGTGAAAGCTATATCAGTTTTGAGGCCTGGACAGTTACATCTCCCTATCATCTGCCATTTTTATGTTCACTCACTTTTTGCAGGGCAATGAGGGGGAAATCCACATGAAAACACCAAGCCTATTTCATCTGGTAAAGGACCCCTGTTTTCTTTAAATGCTATGGGGACAGCAGTACTGTATATAGGTTGCCCAACCACCATTTTAGACCGACAGGAAAAGTACTGCCTGTTGACGGTCCTCTTTAGATATCTTAAAGAAGCAGAAGCTCTATCCCTGGTGGAATGTGGCAATCTTATGCCCATAGTGATATCCAGATATTTTATGAGAAGATGTTGCAAGTAGATAGATGGAATGATTTTTAGAAATACAGTGTTTTCTTAATTTTTCCTTTGGGTTCTGCAGCAAAATCTTGGTGTTCCATGTGAATGTTTCCTGCTGAATGGAAGCTTACGTGAAAAAAAGTTTGGGCCGAGAGCCACATACATTCTTATTTACCTACATGACAGTATGGAAAAGATGATGCTTGGACTTTGCTCCCACATAAAAGAAGCTTTGGTTTTGTCTACAGGTCTTTCTCCATGCCTCTTTCAGTGAGCTCCAAAAACATTTCCAAACTGTAATTTACCTTTGTCATCCATGATAATTTTGTCACATTGCATTTCCTTAGTCTTTGGTGCACCGCCTATAGTTTGCATCATTCTGTTGACATATCGGTCATTGCCAGCTCTGTTTTTACAGAGTTCCATATAAGCTACGTTCTTTTTTCTTTGAAAAACAAAAGACATACATATGCATATTAACAACAACAGCAACAACACTTGTGTACTCCAACTCCTCCTTGTTTGGTTTTCCCTTCAGGGACATAATTTTTTTTAGAAATAAGCATGCACTGGTGTGGTTTTTACCAGTAGTTGTAGAACAGTGTGCTTAAATGGCATTACAATAGATTGCAAGATTCTTCAGAGGAAGATAAGATTGTTGACCAGATTGTTGAAATGCTGCAATGCAGTTAAGTAGCCTTTAGAAAGGTTATGTGAATTGCCTCCTCCCGACACAGAAAATTAAAGTTGTGTTAACAATGTAATCCTTGACCTTTTGCTGTTTTCCTGCAGGTTAATATGACCAAGGGTTTTAATAGTTATAGCTTACTTCCAAGTAAATGTGATGAACAGATTTGTGAATACGAATTTGTTCATAGTTGGACGGACTGTGTTTAGGATTGCTGCCAAAGGAAAGGGGTAGAACCTCTCTAGTCTCAGAAGTTCTAGTGCTTGGATTTTTTGTTAAATCAATGCTACGTTATTTTAATTTACAGAAAAGTGGGGCCCAAATCCCACAGTAAAGAGAATACTTTGAGGATAATACCATGAGAGATGTCATTTTAAGGCTGAAATCCTAATCCCACTTACCTGGGAGTAATCTCCATTCAATTCAGCAAGGCAGGGGTGGGGTACAACTGTTTTCATTCTGGGGCACACATTTCCCTTCTGAGCAACCTTTCAGGAGCCATATGATAGTTGTAGGCAGGGCCAGATGCAGACAGTGCAATGAATGTAAATTTCACCATTGTACACTAGGCGCATTTCAACCCACATTCACATGGAAAACAGGATGCCTTAACGGAGTTCAAGGGCATATTCCAGCAAGGCAAAAACACTCAAGGAGAGGGCAAAGCAGGTTCAGTGGGGGTGTGACTAGGAAGAGTCCAGGGAGCCAGGTAGGAAAGCTTAAAGGGCCACATTAGGCCCTGGGACTGAGCTTCCCCATACCTGCTGTAGGATTTACTACTGAGTAGGCATGGTTAGGATTGCACTGTAACTTTCATTGAAAAGCTAATGCTGCATGGCCCAATAGATGGGCCCCATTACATAGAAATTGTGCCTACCTCACAGAGTCGGCTTCCTCAGACTCTGTCGACAGCATGACAGTTGGCATGTCAAATAACCAAATTGTTTCTGTCTCTGTAAGGAAAATATCCACACGCTTTTCCAGGTCTCGCTTTGTCAGTGACTCTGGCACTGCCTCTCGCCTAACCTGAACATCTGCCAAATTAGAAAACCATGTGAATGAATTAAATAATGTCAAACCTTCCGATACAAAGCGTCCCCAAACCAGGATGCCATCTTTTCATGACCGCACTCTCCTGGGAGTCGTGTGACCTGTGTGAGATCACCCCCCACAAAAAGCGGTTTTTTTCAGGGCAACAATCATGTGCTGTGCCCCAAAATGTCTGTATTGGGGTGCCACCCCCCCAAAAAGTGCAGCCCGTAATCACTGGCCATTGGGGGCCACTGTCCTCTCACAAGAAAAACAGGATGTCCCGTTTTCTTTCTGGGGCAGTTGATGGGTTTGTAATGTCTTGTGCTAAATAATTAAGAAATCATATTATAAGGGTTGTCTTTACTATAAGATACACTACTATAAGATACAGCGTGTTGGCCCAGTAGAGCCTACCTACATGGTGCAAAGGTTGCACAGGTGTTGCCCATGCCCGTTTTCCCATGCTTTCAGTAAATTTTGTTCAGTGAAATGTGACATCACCACATCTATTCCCCTGCCCTCTGCAAGCAGTAGCCAATGAAATGGAGCAGGGACAGAGAACAGTAAAAGCAATGGCAATATACCAAGCATTTCTTTTACCAGATGTTACCAGGGACAAAAGCAGAAGAGGTGTGTGGGTCAGTAGCCAGCCATGCATCCCTGTAACATGTGGTTGGCCCTGAATATTTACTGACTTTGAGCATTGTGGAATGTCACGTGACATCCTAAATGTGATACCACATGAGAAAATTCCAGTGTATTGCATTTGTATAAGTTTACTCTACCTATAAAACTAGCAAGCGCTTCATGTCTGGTTCCAGGTTCTATTATTTCTTCTGCCAATGATTCAGTAGAAGTAGTAGACTTTGTAATACTGCTACTACCATAAGTTCTGTAGTTTGTGGGGGGAAAGAGAAAGTTAGTAGTGGAAGTAAAATAACAAAGAATGCCAAAGCACTTATAACAGGAATATGAGGTGCCAACCAATAAAATCCCACAGCAGTTTAATTGCCACAGAGTATTTATTTCGGATGAAGAACCACTAGGCTGCAGAAGTGTTTGAGCTCCATCAGACATAGAAAAGGCATATGGTACTACCTCTGAATTTAAGTACATCCACAGCTTAAAAAATAAATATCCACTGCAGGGGCCCTGTGAAAAGGGCTGGGACATGATGAACAGAGTGGAAGCTTAATCATTCCACCCGTACATGAGCCCTGATGATACCCTATCCCAGCCTCGGCTTTCTGTCCCAAGAAGGAAACATCTGTTAGGGACAATAGGAACTTCCCTCTCTGGGCTAATGACAGACTTGGAACTGGGTGTGTGTGTGTGTGTGTGTGTGTGTGTGTGTGTGTGTGTGTAAGAATGAATGAACGGAGCCAGTGTCTCAAGTGCAGGAGGGAAATAACTCAGGATGGTCTTTGAGTATGTGAATCAGGATGCTCTATGAATATAGGCATATCTCGGAGATATTGTGGGTTCGATTCCAGACCACCGCAATAAAGCGAGTCACGCTTTTTTTTGTTTTGTTTTGCAGTGCATATCAAAGTTATGTTTACACTATACACTATACAGTAGCCCTAGCCAGTTCCATTCCCAGTGCCAGAAAAAGGGCAGAGGCAGTAGTGGAGTTTCCTTCCCCATAAAGGTTCTGGGCTGCCTGCAGCTGCACCCACGTCCTTGTAAGGAGCAATAAAACAAGGCATGCCTGTACTGGAGGGAAATGTGACAGCCGTGGAACTGATTGGACACTGATTAGGAATGAGCACTGTCTCATCCTTGTGACTCCATGAATATCTGCCAGTTTACTTGACATGCCTATGATTCCTGGTTAAGAAGAAGTTAATTCTGGAACTGCTGAATGAACAGGCCTGCCACAAGAGAAGCTTGATATGTTAGGAGAAGGAGGGTGATACACTCAATCAATCATCCTTGAACTGCATGATAATGAAACAGAAAAATGGATGGATCCTGCTTGAACTGTAGTTTTCATAATCATATCTAAATCTGACTAGTCATCCTTTTAAAGGAGACGCCCTTTTGTGCAAAAGTTCATGGCGCAAAGCCCCTGTGGCAAGAAGAATCCATCCCACATTATTGCAAAGCTGCCAATGTTGGCTTCAGAATTTGCAGCCTGTTAACATCCACAACTTCTGCTCATACAACTGGAATCGGAGAAACAGCCCACAGGTGCATTAGACAGGCCTATAAAGACCTTTGCCCTTTTACCCAGCCAATACAACTAAATTTGCAACCAAAAAAAGGCAGTAAGAGAACACCAAATCCCTTTTCTACCCACTTCTGAATATTATGTATTGCTGTTGGAGCCCAAACAGGTTGGGATGCCATGTCATACCTGGAGAATGGGCCTGCTAAACTAATACTTGTCCCAGACGCTTGTTGCAGAGAGAGGGATGACAAGAATTCTGTTGGCACAGCCCCAGCAAAATCTTGGGTTGATAAGATTTTGCTTGGTCTGTGCATGGGCCCGGGGGTGGGTCCAGCAACACTTGGCTCAGGTTGGTAGAGTGGACGGGGAGTCACATCTTTTCCTATGTCATCAAAAACCTGTGGACACAACAAAGTTACAAGACAAAAAAAATATGAGCCGGTTTTTGTTCTCATCGCAGCTAAAACCAATAGATTTGAAGCTAATTTATTGAAACTAACAGAACAAATCATTTTGCATGTCTGTTCAAAAGAAAGTCGCATTGAGCTCAGCTGGATTTTCTCCCAGGTAAGTGTGCACAAAACTGCAGCCTAACATCTCATCTTATACTTTTCTGTTCAGAATTAAGTGTCACAGAGTTAATTAGTCCAGGTAAATGGCTATGGTATTGCAACCTAAAGCTCCCTCCTATGCACATTTGTATGAGACTAAGTCTGGTGGAATGTAATATGACATCCAGGTATTCAGGAGCCTCTGACACTCTTTTCCTGGGACCAACTTCTCCTGGATGTCTGCAGCAGACTCTCCTCGATGATCTTCATAAAGCGGATTAAGGCAATTTCATTCCACCAGTCAGAAGGGGATGGTGTTGTTTTTTAATATGGAAATTTAAAACGTGATGTTATTGATAGAGTATATTGTTGCTTTCTTGTAATTTGAATTGTAGTGGTATTTTTGCAAGTAGTCTTTCCAGGCTATTGGCATTTTTTTTATGGGGGGGGGGGGAAAGAAACTTGAATAGGATTGACTGCATATTATTTGATAATGGACTGAGTGTGTGGGATTGTGAAGAGTCTTCATGCCATCACACTTTCATGCAAACACATCTATGTACTCAACTGATATGTGTAATGAGCTCTTTAGCTCAGAGTCATGATGCGTCATGGAGAAAAAGCATGCTTCACTGGCATATGGGAGACTGAGTACTCGGATAGCAGACCAGTACACAGACAACAGGTCAATGGCCTGGAAACATAGGGTTGTCTCGAAATAAGTCATACTCAAGAGTAGAGCCTTTGAACTAAATGGAGATAAGTCATGTCCATTGATTTCAGTAAGCCTACTCTCTTGGGTAGCTGGTTACAACCCATGGTCCATATGATCAACTGCAAAGCACAATATGTAGACATAATTACTCTTACATTATATAGCAAAACACTTTGCTTGATGGTTTATTACTGGAAACAGTATCAACAGTATCCTTCACATTTTTTCACAAGTCTCTACTCAGAAAATAGCTAGCTTTCATTATAAGATTGATCTTAACACACAAAGGTTGTGCAGCAAACGCCTGGCATCGCCAGCATCACCCATTTATTTATCAAATGTAGCTGTGTTACTTTTGTTATGTTATGCCATTACCTGGATAGGAGGTTTGCAACCTGCTATGGAGCCCCTTTCGAAAGACTTTCCCTCTGAAGAAATCAGGATGCTCCTGCGAGCCAGTGATCCAACTCTGCTAGCAAGCATGGTGCTGGTGAAGCTCATTTTCCTACCAGAAGCTGAGGACGATGCTAACTTCTTCACTGTGCTCTGCTCTTTTGAGGTCCTGGTTTAATAAAAAAAGAAGAAGTGAGATTATGTGCCAGAGCAGTAGCTTCAAAATGGAACCATTCTGTCAATTTTTGTTAGCAGATTTTATTTTATTTCACAATTCACAAAACATTTTGCAGTAAATGCTCTCATCCTTTTCAGTAATTGCCACAGAATATTGAAAGATTCAATCTCAGGGATTGTCTAGTCTTACACACTCAGTTTAAGTGTGAGTTTATCACCTTCCATGGATATCCTTGCAGAAGGACTGCCTAACCGATCAAGCCTTTAACTATCACAATACTATCATAACTTGTGAATCCAGTAAATGGAAGGTAAATGGGATTTCCGTGCGTTGCTCTGGTTCGCCAGAAGCGGCTTCGTCATGCTGGCCACATGACCTGGAAGCTCCCTCAGCTAATAAAGCGAGATGAGCACCACAACCCCAGAGTCGGCCATGACTGGACCTAATGGCCAGGGGTCCCTTTACCTTTACCTTTATATATGCTACATTTCTTCTTTTTTGTGCTGCATAAATACCCTAGGTACAGGGTTCGAAATTAGCAGGGCACCAGTCGTATTTTGCACCTAAAAAGTCTCCATTTGCGAGCACCTCAAAAAGTCTGGGTGCCATTTTTTGCACCTGGCTGACACTCAAGGAGTTTAATCATAAAGATTGTTTTGAAAACCGAAGTATGGTACCAATATTTTTATTGTAAACACCAAATTAAACATGTATTCAGAATTTCTGCTAAAAATATGATATTAACCATGTGTCACTAATGTGAATTGCATGTGAGTTCATGCACTTATCAAAATAAGTAAAAAATGTTGCGCCCCCCCCCCCAATTGGCAACCAGACATTCTGTTTTTGGCACCCACAACCCAGGTCCCAGAAGCTATTTGGCTCCTAGCTTTTCTATCCCAGTTTGTAACACTGCCTAGTTATGTGGGAAGGATCAGAAAGGCTTAGCTGTTATGTCATCACAAAATGACTAACATTTATTGGTACTTTTCCTGTGAACACAAACCCATTTTCTCCCTAGACATTGCTACTTGATGTGGTAACCCTTTGGTACTTACTTATTGATGATGATGCTCTGTTTCCTGCTCCTGTTGATCAGGTTGCCTGCGGTAGTGTTGGACATGGTTGAGCGTTGTATCTGCCTTCTGGTGGGACAAAACACTAGAATAAGCAGCAACCACAGTTACCACTATGGAAGAGGATAATGTGGGGAAGGGCTTGGGGTAGAGAGCTCTGAAAAAATAGGACCAGCTCAGTGCCTGGGCCACTGGGATATCAGTTTAAAATCTGAGCCCCAAAAAGAAACATTCACTGCAGCGCCTGTTTCTCTCAACAGCTGCTGCTTCAACAAGAAACTGTTTACATGGTTACCATGGCAGCTACCTTTGGAGCATGCAGCCGTGTGATTGGCTGCTAGTGAGACAGAGAAGCTAGATCAAAAGACAGATTGGCTCTCTTACATTTGCCTGCAGCCGAGACTTGTTGCTCCTTGTGGAGAAATACTAACTGCACCTCCTTGCCCCCTTGTGTGCCAGGGATGGTGCCAGGGATGATTCTGGAACCGAATCTGCTCAGTTCAAGAAACTTCATTCCCATGGTCAATGAATGCTGCTGCTTCCTCCTTCCACTGCACTTTATATAAGGAAAAATTGCACAATTTGACCTGCTCTTGTCCATTCTTTCCTGCAGTCCTGAGTTGCCATGCAGTGCAATGCCATCTACTAGTATTTCTCCCTCAATAATGTTAGATTCCCATTGCATCAAAAACTTGACAATGAAGCACATGTTTTTGCATGAAGAAAGTACCAGGATATCTCCAGTTATATCTCTCAGGATATCTCTGGTATCTCCAGTTAAAACGATGATAATCCTGAAAGGACAGAAGTTTCATGTGTCCTGAGTTCTCACGTCTGGGAGGTGGGGAAGTGACCTGCCCTGGATACAGTTACAGTCCCCTGGAACAAGCAGGATTGCAGTTTAGGGGTGCTGCTGAATCCAACACTGCTGCTGGAAGCTCAGGCATCCTCGGTGGCTAGGAATGCCTTCTTTCAGCTGCAGCTGATTGACCAGCTACAACGTCTTTTCGACTTGGCCACTGCACTCCATGCCCTGGTAGCTTCCAGGCTTGGATTATTGCAATGTCCTCTATGTGGGGTTACCCTTGAAGACGATGAAGAAGCTTCAGTTGGTTTAAAATGCAACAGCCAGATCTTTGGCTTGAGTTATGTTAGATCTCTGTTAGAACCCATTTTAAAACAGCTGCACGGTTTGCTAGTTCATTTCCATGCCCAATTCAAGGTGGTCACGTTAGTGTTTGAAGCCCACAAATATCTGACAGATTTAGTTGAGATTCTTGCATTGCAGTGAGTTGGGCGAGATGACCCTCGCAGTCCTTTCCAACTTCTGTGATTCCCTTCAGAACCTCTTAAGTGCTAAGATTGGCTGATGGGACTCTCTTAGTAGCTCCTCTGCCCTCAGAGGTTTCCAGGTGGTGGTCCAGAAGAGGGCATTCTCTGTGGAAGTGCCTAAGTTGTGGAACTGTCTCCACACAGGTGTGTCTGGCACCTTGAATGCTGAAGACACACCTCTTTGCCCTGGCTTTTGACACATTATGTAGAATTAGGTGTTCTTAGTTGCAGGTTAAAGTGTTTTATATGCAAATCCAGAAAGATCAGTACTCCAAAGATACTATGATTGCATGACTAAATGTCACCAAAGTGCATGATAGGAGAAATATGATTGCACTTAAAAGTACATTGTTTTATGGAGCTACATCATACATTTCCAGATGCTTGGCTCGTAAGGAAACCCATATATAATGTGGATATCTATACAAGTTTCAGGAAAGAGAGAGAAAAGGCTTGTAAAGCAATGTTTGTTTTTAATGCAATGAGGGAATCTTGCATGAGATTTGTTTTTAGTACCATCATAGAAATGTATGATTAAAATTTATTGGTTCGCTACCTTTCCAGTCTGCCTTGAATGGTTTTGACCTAAGTTTCATATCATTTATTATGTTTTGAATCTGATGAAATACCTTGGTAAGACTGTTTCATGCCATTCTTTCCATGAGATAGAAAATTCAGTCACTTTTGTAGGAATATATATTTACTAAAAGTAACTTTAGACAGGGCTGCAGTCTGAGTTGCCTTTTAGAGCACAAACCGCTGGAGGCTGGTAGGATACCTATGTAATAATTTTGTTCAATTACATAATTATAGGCTGAGCATATAATATAAGGATGCAGAAGGAAACACACAGGATGGTTCAAGTTCTGATAAACTTAAATCAGCTACAAATATGCAAGGAATTCATCTGCACTTGTAAAGATGGCGGCATTGATGTGTGTGGTAAACATAGTTAATAGTCATGTGGGTGTTTTGGGTTGGTGGTTTGTTTGTTTTTTTGCATTCACTGCAAAAATTTAGAACACCAGTGCCTGTTCAACAAACAGTGTATGCATGAATGAGTGATTGGGTCCATTCAAATTATTGTTGTCTTACATGACAGGGGTATATCATGCATAAAAATTGTTAGTCAAGATAATGAAATTGGCTACAAACACTAAAAAGTGAGTTGAACAATTGGGGGGAAGGCCCTGTTTGGTTGAGATCCAGCCTTGCTAATAGACTACAAAAATAATTTCATAGTGCTCAACAAACACCACTGGACATCTATGAACAAATGAAATGCACTCTCCCCCTCTAAAGCACCTCATAAATAATTTGGTAATGTACTTACCTGTTTGAAGTCAGAAAGAGATTGGATAAGGGTGAACTGAGGACTTGTCCACCCTGGAGCAAAACATGGATTTGCACCTTCCTGTCTCTCTATTAATGTAGGGGCATCCATGTGACATCCTCCCCATCCCAGTGGGATCCTGGACTTTCCCTCCCCTTTAAAGGCAAGTTGTTGTTTTTTATCCTTGCCATTTTGAACTTTCAGAGGATTGAAAACCCTGCACTGAAAGAGGCAAAGATAAGGTAACAAAAAGTTACAAGCGAGTGCTTTGTTTTGCTTCACTGTGGACAAGCCCTAGAACACAATACAGATAAGATGGAGTTGCTTCTGGTGGGAGGCTGAGCAACCTGCTAGATTCTGGATCTGCCTGCCTTAAATGAGGTCACCCTGAAAAACAAAGTTGATGGTTTGGGAGTGCTCCTAGAAGATGGTCAGATAGTGGGCATGGTCAGAAGTGAAATGTTAGCTGGTGTGCCAGTTGCACCTTGTTCTGGATAACAAGGACCCTCCAGTGTGTTTCATACCCTGCCATCAGTTCTGAAATGTTCTGAAAATTGTTGAGTTGTTACATGAAATAAAGGCAGATTTGATGCTAAGGGGAATGTAAAAAATAAGTCTACAGTGCTGTGGGATTTGAAAAAGACAGCTGCTCTTAAAGAATGGTTAACACTCCAGTAGCTTGCAATGCATTTGTACTCCACACAAGAATCAAATATAAACAGAAAAGAACTTGTTTGAGACATTTTAACCACAATTTTATTCTACAGGAAATGACAACTTTTGAAAATGTATCTTTTGTAACTGAAAACCAGATTAAAGTGATGCATCTAAGGTTTTGGATCACATTAGAAACTCATATGTAACATTTCTGTACATGTAACATCTGCAGGGAGGACCTTTTTTTAGAAATTGTAATTATTTTTGTTTTTTAAAAAAAATCTTTCCATCATATTTGGCTTTGTGCAGATTGTTAGTTACCAGCACTAGACAGGATTTGGGAAAAGAACCAACTTGCAATTATATAGTGTTAAAAGAAAAGGCAGCCGAGGAAATATTTCCCATAAACTAAATACACTGTTTATATTATCTTTATTACTTGAAATACCATGTGCACCATGTGAAATACCACTGCAGTGTTATAGACACAATGCATGTTCATGTATAACTATATTATCAAAATGCATGTTATATTGTATATGTACTAACATGCACTGTGATAGTATGGTAACTGTGTTAGATTAAGACACAATTTGCAAGCTAAACCTAGCAAGATAGCTTAACTGGAAGGGGTAATGGTCTATAAATGATGCAAATATACCCTCTCCTTTGGGCTCTCCCAAGTTTTTCCTTTATGATTCTTGTGAACAGTATATAACCAAGGCAAATAATTAAGATGCATGAGAATCTGTAACACACAATCAAATTGTGAAACAAATAGCTGGGAACAATAAATAAATTAGAGCTTGTTTAATAAAAGTTAAAAGCCCATGAAACAATTTTAAGAGAGACTTTATTTCACTTTATCCCTTGATTTCTCTGTGGATTCTAAAATGTTGTGATTGCCTTTAACACTTGTTACTGCCCTGTATCTAGACATATAAATTATAATCCATAAAACTCTAATTCTCTTTATGTATGTGATAATTCAGGCTCATTAGATTATTTTGAAGGGGACAAAGGCTACAATTTAAATAAAAACAATGGCCTCCTGATGCAAACTATTTGCTGTGGCTTATCTGCCTGCAATACTGGCAAAATTTGTCTTTGACATAGTTTCATGGTTGGCATCTGTCCATCTCAGGAGACCATGGCTGTGGAGACCAATACGGGAGAGACATGTTTCGTTGCAACTGAGGCAGTTTGAAATTAATGAATTCCCCAGTAAAGAAGACATGTCCAGGCAAGTTAAAATGACACCTCTGATTTCATCTTTATAAAGCTGAGACACACTTGCATAGGTTTATTGAAATCTCTTTGGTGTTACATACATACTTAGCGAAGATGAGGGATTCCAAACAATGACATTGTAAGGCTGCAATACTACATACTCTTAATTGGGAGGAACTCCAGTAATTTCAATGGGACTTACTCTTAGTCAGTGTACACATTCCTGTTTACATCCAGTATGCTTGCACCAGTGGTTTGGAAAAGCAGTGTACACACAATGTTAGCCACACTCCATACCTGTTGTATTGTTTCTTATGAAATACTGACTTTTTATGTGCCCCAGTAAGCTTAGATATGAATTGAGGAAAAGAACGACCTAGCTGTGTTTTAATCCAATAATGTGTACGGAACCTAAGCAAGCATGCTATGATTGGGCCACTAGCATGTGACTCCAATCCTATGCCCTATTAGTACCATGCAAGTCCTGCAGAAATTGGCGGAACTCGCTTCCAAGTGTGCATGCATAGAATTAGATCGTACAGTCGCCAGGTAATTTCTGGTTACACTCTGCACCCCGCAGCTACTACTACTAGCCAGTCTGTTTTGTTATTGTTTACTACTTTGACCACCACCACCACCAATAGCACATCAAGTCATCTCAACAGCATCCTGCTTTTACCCATAATGCACCAGATTTTACCAGACTCATCGCTATAGGCTTAAACCGGGTTAAACCTTGGTTCCACATAGGGAGCAGTATTTTTTTTTAAGCAAATGTCGACAAGCAGCAAAGGGGTGTAAAATTTCCTTCAGTGTAGGGAAATCTGATTAGGAGAGGGTTTTAATTTCAAAAGTGGGGAGAGGTCTTCTGAAACAAGGCGGCGATAGCTTCTTAGTTTTGTTAGCTCAAGATCGCCTAACTTCCTGTTTCTGCATCTCCCTCGCACGCACGTAGTTTATGAGTACTACTGTTCACCTCAGGCAAAGGGCCAAACTACACCATACGTGAGAGGCTTCACGTATTGGGTTTTTTAAAAAAATAAAAAGCAGAGGTGGGAAGGTCGCGTCAGGATCGGTCTGTGGCGCGCTAGGAGGGGAGAATTTAACCTTTCCCGCCATGTCTTCGACGAAAAGCTTGTCTCCCCACCCCAAAAACTGCTATCCCTAGTTGGGTGAGCAAATGCTCGGGACGAAACTAGACGTGATGTCAAATGATCCCTGATCGGACCTTTGCGCGTTTTTGTTAAGACCAATGGCCGTGAAGGTGGGGGAGTATCGATCGGGTCCTGGCATTGCGCGGGGGGCGGGGGAGGCGTTCACTCTCTTCTCACGTATCTTCCACATTTAATACCCTCCTTGCCCCTCATGTGGGGGGGGGAGAGGCAGACTTTAACATGTCATTGGATGCATATGCATTTCTATTTTCATGACACGAAATCCGTCCCGCCGACATTTTTTTTAAAAAATGTACGCTTTGAAATACGTAAACGTTACCGAAAGGGAGGGGGAAGGAGGAAAATAAAACCAGTGTGGGGAGCACAAGCTTTCGGCTTTCACTGGCTAAGCTCCGTTGCCGGCTTGAACCGCAAGGAGCTTCTCGGGGTTGTTTTTTTCATTTTGGCGGGTCCACTTTTGAGTTTCTGTCAGCCCGGGGAAGTTGCGTCATGCCCCTTGCTTTGGCTAGCAGCGAGTGAATATGTGTGAATAACAAACTACCGGGGGCGGGGGAGAGAGAAGGCGTTATGAACACGGCGCCGCCCCCCCCCCTTCTCAGAGGGACCAGAGGAAACCGTTTATACGGTTGGGAGGCGAAGCAACGTCTCCCCCGCCCCAAGGCCCCGCGCTGAGGTAAGAGGCTGGGAGAGCGGGCGCTCGAGTCTCGTGACTCCGCCGAGCCGCTCGCGCTCGCCGAGAGAAAGGAGGAGGGGCGGCGGCGGCGCGGGCGCGCCCACCTCGTTTGCGCGGTGACGTTGGCTCCTCTTCCTCCCCCTGGTGGCTCCCCGCTTCCTCCTTCCCACCACTACTGCCTCACAGAGACCGTGACCCGTCGCCTCCTCCTCTGCTGCTGCTGCCCTTCCGTGCCGTTTCCTCCTCTCTTCGCCGCGGCGGCGATGTGACTCCCCTCTCCTGGCTCGGCCCGCCCCAGCTGCGCGGCGAACATGGCGGAGGTGAGCGAGAGCCGCGGGCGGCGGCGGCGAGGGGGATGGAAAGGGAGGGAAGGAGGGCGGCGGGTAGAAACGGGGAGGAAGAGGAGGAGGCCGGAGGGGAGAGTCTAGTCGGGGCCCGGCCGGGAACTTGTTGCGCGGCCGCTGCCTGCCCGCCCGCCTCTGTGCTTTCGCTTCCCACAAGTTAAGTTCCAGGGGCGGGAAAGGAGGGAGGTCCCGAGACGGGCCTGGCGTGCTGGGTGGGGAATTTGCCGCCTCCCACCCGGCCCACCGAGGTCCGTGAGGGCGCACCGGCCCTTCTGGAACTTGGGAGGATGGCTGGGTGCGGGGAGAGTTGGGAGTGAGGACCGGTAGGAGAGGAAATGTTGTTGTCGTCTCTCTTTAGGGTGGGGGAAGAAGAGGGTCGTTTACTATGATAGGGGTGGGGAGAGAGAAGCAGCTTTTCCTGCTCGGGGCCGTCAGGATTCGCGCCCCCCCCCCATTACGACCTCCCTTGCTTTCTGCAAAAGCGGGGTGGGGGGAAGGGATGTTCTTGGGGAATTAATAAAGCTTTGTTTATCTTTAGGAAGACGCATTATGTTTAATTCTGCCGCCCCCCCCCACGAAAAAACCCACCTCCAAATCTTTTATTGGTAGGAGATTTCAGTCGTGTCTCTTCGGGAAGAGAGTTGCTCTTTCACCCCTTTAAAGGGAGAGGCAGTATGCACTTTGACTAGCATTGTTCTGGCACATTACGTTGTAAAAAAATCTAAATTGGGCTGCAATATGATGTATTATCATCCACAGCACTCTTGCATTCGCATTCCTCCTCAGTCTGAGCAGCTCGAAGTGGTTTTTAGCTCAAGCTCCCTCACTACAACACTGTGTGGCTATGAGATGAGATTTTGCCCAGAACCTCTGAATGCAGTATCTTATGGGCTCCCACAACTAATAATAATAATAAAAATGTTTGGGAGTGTGTTTGCTTCAAGCAGTAGTATATGGTGCTGAAATCTGACGACCTTTTGGTTAATAAAAGTTTGGCAAACTCTTTAAAGCAGGCTTGTAAATAACAGTTCACCTAGGCCTAGCTTAGGGGTTTATCCAGGAAGTGATGCAATTTATATTGTGCCCCACCAAGCATCTAAAAAAGTGAAGCTCCCTGTTGAAGCAGTGGCATAATTCATACGATCTCTTCTCCACCCTACCCCCTTTTAGCTTTCTGATAGGAAAGAATCTTGTAAATTGGAGAGTTATCACTGTTGGCCTTTGCGTGGTTTCCGTGAAACACATGTATCTGTAGATATGCAATGGAGTTAAAAGGGACACATCTGCTACTCCACCCCATATATTGCATTGCTTCTTAGGCCTTGGTCTCCTTAAGTAAATATCACTTCTTGGTGACAGGCTTTATAACATTTTCCCATTGAATTTATTTGTGGTATTGGGTACTTTGCTGTTAGAGTGGTTTATGAATGGTTTTTAAAAACATAACAAAGCAATAAAAGCAATTATAACAATGAATAAGAATGGAGCAATATCTTAGTAGTTGTGTACAACATGGCCGGGGGGGGGGTCCTACCTAGCGCCAAAAAGGCCATAAGATTTGATGCTAAATAAAGCAAGTTTCTTTCGGAAAAGCATGTCAGACCTGGGGCACCACTTCTGAAAAGGCTACAAACAGGTAGATGTGAGTACATGGACTAATCAAAACTACTGTAAGATACGAACTTTGATGGATTTATTTGTAAGGCTGCTTTTAATGAAGCAACTTTTATTTTATTTAAATATCAAAATCAGGAAGGTCAACTTTTCTAGATCACTTGGTCATTTTTTGTTGTAGAGATGGTGCTTCTTTCCTAGTTTTGATTGTGAGAAGGTGTTACATTTCAATATGTATTCTGCCCTATCAAAATTAACACTTTGTATGGAGACCTCCTTTTGCCGTAACTATATCTACACTTATAGATGCGTTTTCATAGGCTTAATTTCCATTTCATTTTTTGTAAGAGGCATGAGGAGTTACAGTTCTTTCACTTTCTGTTGCCAGTATGTCACAATCCAAGCTTGTATGTTCAGTGTAGGCTGTATATTTATGAAGATGAAATGTAGATAAGTTTCATTAGTCACTTGAAAATATGAGTGTAAGTGCTAAATTCAAGTGGAAAACGTCCAGCACACTTGAGTGTGAGAGCTAAAGTTCCAAAATTGGTCGGGACATATTTGCATCATTTTGGTATTGGCAGTACACTGTTGCCATATACATTGGCATTATATTGCTGCTTTAGTAACATGAGGAATTGCCATTTCAGAGTAATATATAAAGTTATCAAAGTTCATGGTGGCATGTGCTTTTGTCTATACTTTGTGGACAGTTGTGTTCATATCACTATTGAAAATGGGATTTTGAGGATACATTGTAATCTGAGGAGAGTTCATGTAAACTCTGCACATTTTAAGACAAAATCCTTTGGCTGGCATATTTGCCTCCAGTGGCCATTGCTTTAAGACATTTTTACCTCGTCCTCTGTGGTAGGAAACAAGCTAATGTAGGAATACAAAATAATGTACAAAGGTTAGTGACTTTGGATAAAAGCACAGTAATGCACTTTGGAAATCAGCATTTTGTTATATTGCTCTAGTCATGAATAGTGAGTTCTGCAACAAGATGTTTGTAGTGTATCATTGCAGCTTAGCAGAAATGATAGAGACCATCCTTCAGAAGTTCAGAATATTCCATTTCTCCAGTACTTCCCATTTCTGTTTCTTTTCTAGTCAAGAGTCAGTGTCACAATGCTCAGTTCTCACAGGAGTACTTCGTTGAGGCATTTGCCCCCTTTAAAGTATTTATTCTTACATTTGTACTTCTGCAGACCTTGGGATTCCCTGAATGTACCCTTTTGTCTCTCAGTGACCACATTTTGTCTTTAATCCTGCTCATTCACCTCCTGAGTTTGTTATTAGAGTGAGTGATTGCACTTGCTGGTGGAAAGCTGAAACAATTTATATCAGTAGTAAGTCCTGGGTCATACTAGCATACATACTTACAGGTGTAGTGGACCAACTTGATGTGGCCTGGGCTTTGCCACAGGTGAGAGAAATCTATCACCATGGTTAAACTGTACCTTTTCCCTCCTCAAACTGTGCGTGAATTTTAGTTACATTTTCACTGTATTCTTCCTCATGTTTTTTTTTGACATTTGTTAATATATTTTGAGAGGTAATATAAAGATAAAATGTTTGAAGTGCATTTATTTGGTTTTGGTATAGTTAGCATTGTAGAAGGGAAGTTAAAAGACTGAATTTAGTGGAAAGCATATTAGTGTGGGAGCAGCTTTGTTTGTGGGACATAACTGATGGCAGTGCTCAGAAATCCCAAGTAGTCACCATGTAATTATATCCTTAGAAACAACATAATTTAGGATATGTGTGCTTGATCTTAACCCCCCCTCCCCCCCTCCCCAGTCATATGGACTATAAATAATTTGCAAATGAAAGGAGTACTTTTTGCCATTGTAAAAGTACTGGCTAGAGAGTTTGGATTTGAGAATTGGCAGTTCCGGACTCAAATACCCATTCAGCTGTGAAGCTTCCTGGGTGGTTTTGGTCAAGATGCATTTCCCAAGGCTAATATACTAGCTAAAACACTGATCAGAGTTCTTTTAAGGAAGGACAGGATACAAATGTAGCAAGGAAATAAACAAAAACTTCCCATGTCAAGAAAGTCTGCACATAGTCGTAGATCATTATTTCCTCATTCAAGGGATAATGCAAAATTTAACCCAAGTATGCATAGTTTTTTGCAAATTGATGTTTTTGGGGGTGGGAATTAAAAATAATCACAACTTGAGTTAAATTGTAACCAGCAACAATATAAATATGCATCTAGCCCAGATGTCACATAATTTACTTTGGGCAGAAATAAATACCTAAAGCATTTAGCTTCTGCAACAAAGCAAATAAAATTTTGTTAATTTTATACTTTTAAGAGTTCTCTTAGGCAAAATGTCTTTCATGATAAATACTGACTAGGAAATAACTGACCTTACAACTCTGCCTTTGGATTAGCTCCAGACTAAAGTAGTTGAAATTAGGTCCTGTTAAAATCAACAGGATTTGT